ACAAGCAAGCAGTTTAGAGGTAATGGTACACAATTAACATCTCATTCCACCATAAAGGGTATGCTAAATACCCCAGTCATTGCTTTCTCTGCCTGGAATTGAAATAAGTGTTTGTCCTAATTCATATGCTATCTGATGTGAAGTGGGCCTGCTTTGTACTGCCGTACACCATTAATCTAATTATAGATAGCTGCAAATGAAGCGCTGTCTGAGCGAGGAGATGGAAGAAAATAGCCTTTTGTCATTTAGCATGACTCTGTGAAGCAAGATCACACTTTACAGGGCAATACTGCAAAATGGAAATCTCAATAATATTGCTGCCTGTTGCATCTTTTCTAATTACAACAGCATTGTAAACACAACTGGGCGCTGGTGTAAATAGAGCTGTAGATACGCTGTCATGTGGGTTGTCGGAGAAAGTCCTCTGAGTGCTGTTGGATTAAATGATGCATCCTGATTGACAGCTACCTTGAGACTGTGCCGATGGAGTTGTCACGGCTCTATGCTAACAGGCTGCTCCAGTGCCTGCAGCTGTAGGAGGCGCCTTCACCTGAGCTGTACCTCCATAAGGACCCCTCAGGCTTTAATTCTGTGTTTTTAGTATTGCTTCATGGAGATTTGGGTGGGTTGGGTTGGGTAGGGTCTAATACTGAAGTGGAGGGGAATGTGTTTCACATGGCTTTGAACCCGGGCTATGGTTTTCCTCAAGTGTTCATTGTGTATCTCACAGGGAACGTAGGCGAGAAAAACAACACAAGTTTGGATTACCTTTCTGATTCCACCTAAGTGTTTTAATTTGCATTAGTGTTTTTCTCTTTTTCTGACATGCTGTTGTTTTAAAAGATATATCATTTTTGCAGCATTTTTGGTTGCTGGCAGTTTTTCTGTAGCTCAAGTTAGGAAAGTAAACTTTTAGGGGCATATTTGAGTGCTGGCTCTCAGTGCCCCACTCTGAAAATGAAGACACAGCTTAATGTTGGAGACCCTTGGGGCCAGAAGGTATAGAACTTTGAATAAGAAGAGGTCCTTGTATTTGAAGAACTGGACTTGCCACCTCACTAAATAAGTGAGGGCCGATGAACAGTAGGTATATGGCTAATGCTTCAGGATGTTAGGATAACTGATATAAAATAATCCACAGTAAAGGTTCATCACTTAAGGTTCATCGTTTACTCTGGCACAGTATTGACTGAGATGGCCCCCAGTTGACATGAAAAAAGCATTACTGTTCATTCACATATCCTCATTGTTGGGAGAATGGCGTAGAAATGGAAACTGGAGCTGGGTTACTTTAAGAGCAATGAAGCTAAAGGCTTGGAAATCACAACTGAAAAAAATATGTAAAGCAAACCAACACTCATCTTGCCAGGAGCCCACAGACCCCTAAATCATACAGACACATGAGAGCGTGGAATATATAAACTCGCTGGTGAAGCTGGAGGCCTTTGAGAGAAGCACATGGATTTAAACTCCATAAGGAGATACACACACTAAACTAATGCAGACACCAGCAAGATGGTGTTTTGTGTGACACCTGAGTGGGGTGCATCCACAGTGAGGGCTGCTTGTGGCCCAGATTGTGTGAATGGCAGAGGAGGGCATGCCCACTTGCAGGATGTTTTTGTTAACCCAAACCACGATTGGCTCCCTCCTCCCCCAACAACCACAGCTCTGGGCTCCCTCTTTTCCCTTTTTATCAGGTTTCATGTTAAGAGCTGTATGTTAAGTTTTAAAACAATTCTATTATGTTCCTTTTAATTGTCCATCTCTTATAGTTTTCTTCCTGATCCTTTCATGTCTGGTGTGATCCCTTTTTCTTTCTTTCATTTGAACTTTTTGGGAGAAATTTTCTTGTTAGACATGGTTTACCATTGTAGACACCATAAAATTAATTTGCTTAGAGACCTGGGCTTGGGTTATTTTACCATAATTAGATCATGAGATAAGACCTTGGTTACCCCCTTATTGTGTATGTGGACTGAGGAGTCTGGCAAGCTAAGCTGGGGAGCACCTGTTCTTACCCGGTGAGGTGTGTTTTTCAAGGACGTATTAATTTGACTGTGGTTTGGAGAGCACCTCCCAAAACCCACAGAGTGAGGTTCCGTCTACTAATGACCCGCAGCTATTGAACCAGCAAGCAGCTCCTAATCCCTCAGGCAGACGATCCTCGTGACCTTGCAGGGTGAGCACCTCTGCTGCTACTAGGGTTGCGCTTCTCTGTGCTATCCACTAGCCTTTTACAATCAGGGACTTTTACTCCCAAAGCATCAAGTTCATGGCTTTGCTGCTTGAAAACAATAACAACAGCTTAAAATCAATACTCTCCAGGGACATTTTGCAGACCCCATTAGGAATATTTAAATGCCTAGCGTACAGCCAGACTGCACTGCACGCGTCATAGGGCATTTTCCTGAAATCTCTCAACTACTTGGCTGCTCTGCCCGTGCCCCCTAAGAATTCAGGGAAACCAATAAATAGCAGTTTTGATCATAAACTTTGAAAGCCCTAGTGTACATTCTTAAATGACTTCTTTTCTGGGGCATCAAAAACCTTTTACGGTTCTCACCCAGCAATTCATTCTGATGGGCCCATATGCTGCACTCCACTTAGATCCCATCCTGGCAAGCACCCCATGCAGGCTGCACGGGCGAGCCAAGAGGTTGTTTTAAGAAGGCGTGTTTGCATGGGCATGCTCAGGGGTCAGGACAACATCAAAGGTAATCTTAAAAAGAGAACCTCCCCGATGCCTCCTCCTTTTATATTCCGAGAGGTCATTTCTAAGCCAACTATTTGCAGCAAGGCCTCTCCTGAGGCATTTACCCCCTTGTTATTTTTTTTTTTTTTTTGCCTGTGATTACAATAAGTCACTTATCCCCAAACAGATTTTAAGAACAATAAACAAATACAAAAGGAAAAGGAACATCTCATCAATAACAAAGACCGCATCTAAAGGCCCTGAGTTTTGTGGCTCTTTTACATCTCTTTCCAAGCAAAGCAGGAGTCCTACAGAGAAAGGAATCCGAAAGATAGGAAAATTATAAAAATAGTAAGAGGATCCAGTTTTAGTCAGGATCTTGTCATTTCTGGTGAGAAATGGAGCTTAGGACAGTCTTAGCACTTGATTTCTATTCAGGCTTGTTTGTGATATAGCTAAAATTAGTTTTTAAGGGTATCCACTGTTGTGAAATGTGATACATTCTTTATTCTCAGTGCAGAAAGATGCTTTCCCTGAATTTAGTGCTCACATTTTGAAGCCAAATTGTGTACCAAAACCCACCAAAAAACAGATCTGTATGCTGCACTGAAAACCAGACAACTGGGCCCAGTGCTGATCAGTCCCTGGGGAGGAGCGGCCAGGGTGCAGCCACCTAAGAAGAGGAACTTTTTGTTGATGGTGCTTCTAATGTTGGACTTCCCTTCGAAGGCAGACAGCACAGACACTAAAGCTGTGCAATTTGGTACAATTATATTCTCCCCTCTCTTTCTCTCCTGTAATGAAGGACTTTGAGGTACAATTCCTCGTTGATAAATAGTCCCTCTCTGCCTGGAATGTTTATTAGACTGACAGCAGAGCGCACTCTTCTCGCTTGTTCCCTTGCCACTTATGATTCAGATGAATTTTAATAGGAGCAAAAAAGCTTTTATTTGCCCTGTAATTTCACTTAAGGATCATATCCTTCAGAAACTGGCAGACACTTGTATGTCTTGATTGCAAAACACACACTCAGGAGTAAAGAAACATGCAAAAGATGTTATTCTTCAACCTGTCACAGTGCCGTTCATCTGCTCTGACTTAGGCCATCAAAGCGCTTCCTCGGGCCCCTCCCCCACCCCTCCCTCCTCTTTAAATAGGCCCGCAAAGAGCACACTTAAAGATTTCCGCCAACCCTGCACCGAATTAAAGGGTGAATTCTATTTTGCTTTTGCATCCCTGCCATCATGATGCCCACAGGAGGCCTTAGGTTACAGCAGCTTTTTTTGAACAAAATGGGGCCGCCTGGATGCTGCAATCTGCCTCCCCAGGGGAAATGCGATCTGGTAGGGATCCAAGAATCTTCAGGTGGCCGTTCCCACTTCACCGGCTAACACGTCCTCCCACCATTTTATCTTGTTTCTGTTTACGTAGACCAAACTGAGGCTCACCTGTTTATTCACAGAGATCCAGGATTTTTCCTGCTGGGCAGAAATTCTCTTCGCCAGAAATGTCCTGTTCGAACTGCCTTTGGTGTGCCCCTAATTGTTTGTGAGCCACCTACAAACGGTGCCATTAAAATACTTGGCTGTGCATATTGTTTTCTTTCAGTGGTTTTAAACTCTTGTTATATTGTCCCTTAATACAGAAGACATTCTCATCATATTTCATCTGTATCTATCCTAACCACCTTGTTACAGAAAGACTATGTAACGCTGTGCCTGAAGAGAAAGGCTAACATTTTCAGTCGTGAATATAACATTTTATGTCACTAGAAAAAATGGAATTTTAAGTATTGTTTTGCCCAAAATGAACAATGAAACCCTTTGTCTTAAGTTATTGATACGTAGAACAGCAGTCCCCTTGAGGGAGTGGGGCGTTAGAGACAGCAGTCTGCTGCCATCTACTGGCGCGTGCTCACGCTCACCCCTTTCCCCTTCGGCTGACCCAGCTCACGGAATTGGTGTTAATTGGGATAAGTTTTGTAAGCAGTGAAGGGAAAACAAAAAAATGCTCAGTTTTCTTTATAAAATTTTCAGATGTTTTCTTCATGTAACAAAAATGATGGCTATTTATCACTAATTAATTACAGAGAAGTTCTTATTTCAAGAAATCTCTTCAGTAAGTGGCTCATAACATGTGCCAGAAACAGTTGTATTTATTTTGTTTTTATGTACAATAATTAAAAAGCCTGTGACTTCGAAGGCATTATCATTTAAATTTAAAAGGTAAAAGCTGATTTTGAATGAATGCTACTTTTGAGAAAAGCGTTCATCATTTAAACTCACTTACGTTGTTTTTCCTTAAGTACAAGGTGCATATCTTAACCAAACTCGCCGCAGAATTGAACAAATTTATGCTGGAAAAAGTGGCTGAGGATACGAGCAGCACCCTTCGCTCCCCGATGCCTGGCCTGGTGGTGGCCATCTCCGTCAAGCCTGGAGACATGGTAAGGAGCATGCCTGCCTGTGGGGCGGGGGCAGACTGAAGCGTGGCTACTTCCTGAGCAGGTCTTTCTCGAGTCATACTACCCCCCACAAAACAGCAAAGTAGCTTTTGTACATATTTTGTCCAACTGTTCACATTTGAATCAGATTAGTGACAATATCTGAGTGCCCCTCCCCTCAAATGATCTGGAACTGGAACCGAAATAAGGCCTAATTCATTCAGTTATTTGGCAAATTTGGAGTTCCAGGAAGTATCCTATTTAAAATTTCTATTTACTCTCTTAGCTCTCTGTGCGTTAAGCATCCTTGAAGAAAACTCATAGCAAAAAATAATCCTCCGATGGGAAATTTTGGGCATGGTTTTTGGAGTAAAAGGGAAGGGAACTAAGGAAAGTTAACTCTGTAATCGTGTAGCACCAGAGCACTTCCCTACCTTGATAAATAAAACTTAGGATCACTTAGGAAGTTTTTCATTTTGACGTTGTGACATGAAGGCACAAATCAAAGCTCTATTAATAATCAAAGTTCTATTAACATGTTCAGTCTCACAATGGCGTGCTGTGGACAGATTGGTGGGATCCATGCATTTTCTGAAAGCATGGTTAGAAATTACTTATTAACAGCAAAAGTAAAAAGGAAACAAAGATTTAACCAGAAGATTTCTAGGGGGCATGTAAATACTTGCATTTTTGTTTATGTGCCGCCATAAATAAGGGCGAAACATGATAGTCTTTCATGAATGAGATGGTAATTCCATTTTGTGACTCAGTTAAGTTACAGGGGTTTATATATTTTCCTGTAAAAATTACATTAAAACTGCTTCTGTATTTCTTTATTAACATAAATAAAATAACATTGAGGAAAAACTCACATAGTTGTCAGTGGATTCTAGAAAAGTATTTATAATGAGTGAATATTAAGAAAAATAATCAGTTTCAGTTATTGAAATGATTAGCCCTGATACTTTAAAAATTACATGTATGTGATGAATATGGGGAGGGGCTTGCCTTGTATTTCTTCATTCTAAAGCAGTGGTTCTCAACCTTCCTAATGCCGCGACCCTTTAATACAGTTCCTCATGTTATGGTGACCCAACCATAAAATTATTTTCGTTGCTACTTCATAACTGTAATTTTGCTACTGTTATGAATCGTAATGTAAATATCTGGTATGCAGGATGTATTTTCATTGTTACAAATTGAACATAATTAAAGCATAGTGATTAATCACAAAAACAATATGTAATTATATATGTGTTTTCCGATGGTCTTAGGCGACCCCTGTGAAAGGGTCGTTCGACCCCCAAAGGGGTCGCGACCCACAGGTTGAGAACCGCTGTCCTAAAGGGTTAGATTCTGAGGAGATAGCCCCTTGGCCTTGGCAGTGAGCTGTGTGCACTCACACTAATCAGCAGCACAGTTAGTGGAATCTTCCATAGGATGGTAAACAATGTGAGGGGTGGTTGCTTTTTTTTTATCTTCCTTCTTAAGCTTTTTCTGGAAGCCACATGGGCTGTATACTGAGCTTGTCAGTCCTAATTGTGTGTTTTTAATCATAAAATCACATTTGTGCTTTAAAAAAAAATGAGTGTTTAATGGCAACCCTTACTTTTCCAACACCTGAGTCAAACCCTGAGAGGCGGGAGGCGGCTCCTGCTGAGCGTGGAGGGGCCCTTCCTGGCGGCCCTGCTCCTCCGTTTGCTCCAGCCTCCTGGCTGTGGCTGTGCTGGGGCAGAGAACAGGCAGCTTGCAGCCTTCTTGCTTCCAACAACTGCTCCCTCCTCCTCTGGCTTCTCCAGATACCAGAAGGGTTTAGCCTTCATGCTTTCCGTTTCCTGGTTAATAATTTAATGTGGGAAAGCAGGGCATTTAGTAAAATGGAACAATGTGTATTAATTTTTGGTTCATTGGGGTAGCTCAGATATTGAAAACCACCACCAGTAATTACATGTGGGTATTCAAGAATGGCTTAATTTGAGAACTGACTGGAGTCTCTATTTCACATATTCCTTTAAAGTCAGAGGACATGGCTGCGGGGTATACCCTCAGTCCTTCACCTTCCATATAAATGCTCTTTGTGCGCATGTGCCTAGGCTGGGCTGGGAGACCAAATGCTTTCTTTTTATTTCTCTTCACCTCCCAGAACCACTTCTAGTCCTGGCAGAACTTCCTTTTATATTTTGTGACATTATGTTTTAATAAAATAGTGTTCACTCTTGAGTTATTATTTGTGAAAAATGTCCCAAACCGCTAATACCTAAGCCAAATGCAGGGCGAGACGTTTACTGGTCAGCTCTTACTATTCATATAGTTAAATCTGCTTCATGTAATTAAAACACAAGAAACTTTCCTTGGACCAAGGGCAGGGCACTTGCTCAAGGCCACAGTAAGAAAATAATACTTGTACCTTTTAAGTGTTGAGGTTTAAAATTATTGTAACACTGCAGGGCATGTTGTACTGTTCTCAGCAATAACAATAGCTGAGCCAAGGTCCCACTTTTATCAATAGGAAGAGAATGGAATCAATCATCTGTGTATTTTCAAGGAAAACAAGGATCTAAAAAAACAACTCAGGGCCGACAAGTATTCTCTTTTCTTTGAAATGTTGTTTTGTGTAGGCTGAATTCCAGTTATCTGTAATTTTTACATTTAGCTGAAATAAAACTTCACAAATCTTAGACTGGTGAGCCTGGCAATAATGTGTCCCACAAGTAACAAATAACAAATCTTGGTTGTGAAGTACGCAATTTTAACAAAGTTAAGAAAAACATCTCAGGACAGAGTGCGCTGGGTGGCAGTTGGGAAGTAGAGATGGTGTGAGGAAGCCAGCTGCGCTCTGCATGCTGCCATCAGGTTCAGACAGCAGAAGTTCCTAGTACTTTCACTGTTTAGCATTAAGTGTGGCAGAGGAATCTTTTTAAATGTTTATAGAATAGCCCTTTTGAACATGCAGGGCGGGGATTCTAGTTAATAAACAGTAAAATACATATATACAAACAAACCAATTAGAAACTAAGCAGAACTGGATCATAAAAGTCTAGAATCACACATTTAATCCAGAAAACAAATCACCAGATGACTTTTATACGCCTGTCTTATGTGCTTTTTTTATAAGAGTTCTGAAAATATTTTTAAGGACTGATTTTAGTTTCATTTTGAAAAATAGCCATTTTTCTGTACATTTAACACTTTCATAACCTGGGGGCACTTCTATAATCAAAGTTCGCATTTTTAATAACTTGTTTTCACTGTTTTCATTTCTATCTTTATGATATTCTTGAACAAAAATATTGAATATATATTCTTTCAGAATGATGGCTGAACACAATTTTTTTCAGCATTAGACTTACAGCTGTTGAAATTTCTGCACAATTTCATTTGACTTTGAAGTATAAAAATAAAGTCATCATGAGCACATTTGTTTTGTTAGCCTTTTGATATCAGAAAGAAAACAAAAAATAAAAATAACAATGAGGCAGCCCAATGGGATATTTTAATATTGCATTTAATTAAGATTTGTTCTAGTCATGTTTAGATTTTGAAATATTTATCTTATTTAATACATCCACAGTTTAGTGAGACATGACCCAGAAGCAAGCTGTATACCATTTATGTTTCTTTCTTTCTTAATTATTACTTTTGATTTATTAGTTTGTGAGACCAGGTAAAATGATAGCTTGATCAAGTACCTGTTGCTGGTTTTTCCTGCCACTTAGCCCATCCAGTATTAGTAAGACAGATGGAGTATTTGGGGGCCAAGATGAGGAGGATGTGCTTTGTAGCAGGACTGATATTCAGTAGCAGGTAATTAGGTGTTTGGGATTGTTGTTCTCATAAACAGTGACTTAGGCAAAAAACAACATTGGTGTCGTATAAAGTGTACCAGTGAAAACATAAAGTTTAGGATCATTAGTGGGAGTATCACCCAGATTTCACCCTGATTTTTTTCCCTCCTTTGCATGTGCTCCTTCAGGGGGAGGGCACCCAAGCAGGTGGATGGGTGAGCATGATAGTCTCACCTCCTCTTTGTCCCTAAACCATCTGCAGTTGAGCTTACAGCTGATCTTGGAGAAATCGCTAATAAACTTGGTGCGAGACCTTTATTTTTCATGTCTTGATAAGCAGGATTTGAACCCTCCTCTGCGCTTAAGTACTGCCGAGGAGAAGGGTTGGCTTGGGCTCTCCTGATGTGTGTTCGCCTGGCAGTGACTTGTGTACCCCATGCAGCCCAGTGTCAATAATCACATCTTTCCCTGGCAGAGGACCTGACCTGGCTGTTTGATAGATTTTCCAGTTTTTGGATACCTTGATTTACAATCAGGAAATAATTGTAATAATTAAATTTACATATTTTATAGCAGTAGTTATTCAAGCAGTTTATTTGATAAGGTGCCAATTTTTCATCCAAACCTCAGATTGTATTCCAAAGCACGTGGAAATTCATAATTCATTATTTAACACTTTTTATACTTTAAGTTATGAAATGGTACGAACATACAGAAAGTTATAAAGAATAGTATGCTCTCTGCTTGTCTAATTTACCACATTTGCTTTCCATTTTATTTAAGACTAAGACACTGCTTATGCAGTGAATTTGCCCTGTGTTCTTTCCAGTCGAATTCAGGTAACCACTGTCCTGAATTTGGCCCTTTAATCTTTTCCAGGTAGCATTTACTTTTAAACATTAGGGACAATTTTTGTTGGAGTAAAACTTGGGGAATTTTTACAACTTAATGATAATTATCAATATAAGAAAATATTTTTATAGATTAATCAACAAATTAAATATTATAGGAGAGTCTTCTACAAATCTGGCATTTGATTTAATTTTTCTAGGAATGACCTGTTTGGGATTATAGGGGATGTTTGTTAGCTTTGCTTTAAACATTTTTGAAGATAACGGTTCTCAACTTGGCCAAATTTCAAAATATCCTTTCTCACCCTTTTGCAAAAAATAAAATAAAATTTCTCCGAATCCTTTAAAACAGTACACTTCCCAAAGA